GAACCAGGGTTTATTCCAAGTCCGAAGGTCTGTGGAGATATTACGCAAGAGGGGTAAGAAGTTTTTATCGTAAAGTTCTGTTAGGTGAGTTGGTAGTTGGATACCCAGATACGTGATCGCCTCAGACTGCCAAGTAAAAGGAAAATTCAATTTTGCTTGTCTAAACACATCTTGGGTCAAGGAGACATTAAGGGCTTGGGATTTAGAGAAGTTAATTTTGAAGTTAGCCAGATACTGGAACAACTTGAATTCTTGCAGCAGATTAGGTAAAGTGATATGTGGGTCTGTTAGGAAAAGTAGTATGTCATCAGCAAAGGCTGCTATTTTATGAATTTTGCCATTTATCAGAATCCCCTTGATGTTATCATTCTGTTTGATGCAATTCAACAAAGGTTCCAGAGTCAGAATAAATAGGAGAGGGGATAAAGGACATCCCTGTCTAGTCCCATTGCCTATCGAAAAGGAATCCGAAAGGAGACCATTAACTCGCACTTTAGCTGTGGGAGTGGTATATAGAGACATGATAAATGCCAGGAAACGCGGAGGCAATCCAAGTCCAATCAGAACTGCCTCCATGTAGTCCCACGCCAGTCTGTCAAATGCCTTTTCTGCATCTAGAGATAGAAAGAAGCCAGATTGTTGCTTTTGAGTTAACCAATGATGAATATTTATGGCCCTTATTGTATTGTCTCTAGCTTCTCTCCCTGGTACAAAGCCCACCTGGTCTGTTGATATGATGGGATCTATGATGCGTAATAGACGATTGGCCAGGATTTTGGCAAAGATCTTTAGATCAACGTTTAATAGAGAGATCGGACGGTAGTTCGCTGGAGAGGTTTGGTCTTTATTCTCTTTTGGTATGACCGTAATATGGGCCTCAGAGAGATGGCGCATGGATTGCCCTGGTGTATCTAAAGTGTTGAAGGCCCGTAGAAATGGCTGTGCTAAGATGTCACTGAAAGACTTATAGTACGAAGTGATAAACCCATCAGGGCCTGGACTTTTACCAGGTTTTCAGTTGTGCAATGGCTTGTTGTAGTTCCGTCAGGGTCAAGGCGCCATCTAAGTCTCGCAGGCACAAAATATTTTACACCTGGGATGGGGAATATATCGGGGATGTGGATAAGAGATAGGAATGCACGATTAAAAGATAAGAAAAAGGATGAAATATGTTCAGTTCAGGAGCTAAAACACAAAAGGGATATGTTTTACGTCATAGATCAGTGGTCTCCAAACTGCAGCCTGTGGGCTGAATGCAGCCCTTTACTTGCCTCTATCCGGCCCTCGGGTACTTTTCCTCCCCCTGACACCAACAAGGAGGCACCATTTCTTACACTGGCACCAACAGTGGGGCTCCATTCTTCTCACTGACACCAACAATGGGGCATTTTTCCTTCCACTGACAACGATGGGGCACAATTCCACCCACTGATATAAACAATTAGGCACTATTTCTACAACTAATACCAATGACGGGGCACTATTCATCCTACTGGCATCAATGATGTGGCACTATTCCTACAACCAACACCAATTAAGTGGCACTTTTCCTCCCACTGATACCAATGAGGGCACTATTCCTCTCACTGATACCAATGATGGGGCACTATTCCTCTCACTGATACCAATGAAGGGGCACTATTCCTCTCACTGATACCAATGATGGGGCACTGTTCCTCCTACTAATACTAATGATGGGGAACTATACCTCCAACCAATACCAATTAAGGGGCACTATCCCTCTCACTGATACCAATGATGGGGCACTATCCCTCTCACTGATACCAATGATGGGGCACTATTCCTCTCACTGAAACCAATGATGGGGCACTATCCCTCTCACTGAAACCAATGATGGGGCACTATCCCTCTCACTGAAACCAATGATGGGGCACTATCCCTCTCACTGAAACCAATGATGGGGCACTATCCCTCTCACTGATACCAATGATGGGGCACTATCCCTCTCACTGATACCAATGATGGGGCACTATTCCTCTCACTGATACCAATGATGGGGCACTATTCCTCTCACTGATACCAATGATGGGGCACTATCCCTCTCACTGATCAATGATGAGGCACTATTCCTCCCACTGACACCAATGATGGGGCACTATTCCTCCCACTGACACCAATGATGGGGCACTATTCCTCCCACTGATACCAATGATGGGGCACTATTCCTCCCACTGTCACCAATGATGGGGCACTATTCCTCTCACTGTCACCAATGGGGATAGGGCACTATTCCTCCAACAAATACCAGCGATGCGGCACTATTCCTCCAATTAATACCAATGACTGGACACTATTCCTCCTTCTACTGACTACAAACTTTATGTCATGTTTTTTACTCCCACTTTCTCTGAGAAATTTTCTACTCCCACTGACCACTTTTGGCCCCCCTACAGTCTGAAGGACAATAAGCTGGCCCTTTGTTTCGACAGTTTGGAGACCCCTGTGATAGATGAAAGTTAGTATCACCAACTTAAACATTTTGTTGTAGCAATTCCGCAGCCAATAAAACTTGAACCCATTCAATGATGAGGCACTATTCCTCCCACTGATACCAATGATGGGGCACTATTCCTCTCACTGATACCAATGATGGGCACTATTCCTCTCACTGATACCAATGATGGGGCACTGTTTCCTCCTACTAATACTAATGATGGGGAACTATACCTCCAACCAATACCAATTAAGGGGCACTATCCCTCTCACTGATACCAATGATGGGGCACTATCCCTCTCACTGATACCAATGATGGGGCACTATCCCTCTCACTGATACCAATGATGGGGCACTATCCCTCTCACTGAACCAATGATGGGGCACTATCCCTCTCACTGAAACCAATGATGGGGCACTATCCCTCTCACTGAAACCAATGATGGGGCACTATCCCTCTCACTGAAACCAATGATGGGGCACTATCCCTCTCACTGATACCAATGATGAGGCACTATTCCTCCCACTGATACCAATGATGGGGCACTATTCCTCTCACTGATACCAATGATGGGGCACTATTCCTCTCACTGATACCAATGATGGGGCACTATTCCTCTCACTGATACCAATGATGGGGCACTATCCCTCTCACTGATACCAATGATGGGGCACTATCCCTCTCACTGAAATCAATGATGAGGCACTATTCCTCCCACTGATACCAATGATGGGGCACTATTCCTCCCACTGTCACCAATGATGGGGCACTATTCCTCTCACTGTCACCAATGATAGGGCACTATTCCTCCAACAAATACCAGCGATGCGGCACTATTCCTCCAATTAATACCAATGACTGGACACTATTCCTCCTTCTACTGACTACAAACTTTGTCATGTTTTTTACTCCCACTTTCTCTGGGAAATTTTCTACTCCCACTGACCACTTTGGCCCCCCTACAGTCTGAAGGACAATAAGCTGGCCCTTTGTTTCGACAGTTTGGAGACCCCTGTGATAGATGAAAGTTAGTATCACCAACTTAAACATTTTGTTGTAGCAATTCCGCAGCCAATAAAACTTGAACCCATTCATTAGAACAATTGATGAATTTTTTAAACGGAGCACAAAAAAACATCGCATGTATAAGACACTCACTATAATATCTGAACCGGTTTTTTCCACAATATATAGAAAAATGGGAAAAGGAATTGGTAACACAGTTAAATGAATAACAGAAAAGAAAATAATTAGAATTGCACATGTGGCAACTGATGTGAATAAAGTAGAAATTAACTTCAAATTCCTGAGTAGATGGTACGATACGCAGAGTAGAGCTCATAAGTACCATCCAGAGAATTGGCCGCTCGGTTTGAGGGGATGTGGGATAGAGGATACAATGATACACATATGGTGGGAATGTCCCAAAATACAGTATTTTTGGCAGAGGATTATACAACAAATAACAGAAATTACAGGAGAAATACAATAATGGACCCATGGGTGTGTTTATTTCATAATACCTGTCTTACAGCAAAACAATATAAGAGCACAATTGTATTTAATTTATTTAATGCAGCGAAAGGATTAATACCCACATTTTGGAAGTCTCAAGAAGCACCAAAGGTTAAGGATTGGATAACGAGGGTGGAATATGGCTATAGGATAGAAGAACTTTATCACAGTGGAGAGGAAAAAATGGTAAAATTTAAAAACAAATATGGGAAAGATGATGTGATTGTAGGGTTACACAGAAATATGATGACCTGGTGGGATAAAGAGAAGAAGGAAATAGCAGAGGGGGGAACAGAGAGATATGACGTATAATAACGGTATAGAGAGAGTAAACAGAAGAACACACAAGAGGGGAAGGGGAGGGGAGGGGAGGTTTCGAGAGATGGGAAGGGGGGGGGGGGGGAACAGGGGGGGAGGGAAAGTGGATTGTATAATGTGTTGTAGAAGATCATGTATTAGTGTTGCGTTGGAATTTTGTAAAACGTGTTTAATAAAAATATAATAAAGAACAGCTTTCTTTCATATATGTATTTTATCTGCATGTTTTCCATGCATAAAAGTTAAAAAACCTACTTTGCGCTGATCCCTCCCCCCAAGACTCACCTGAGCCCGGTCTCGATCCAGCGATCTGTATGGGAACTATGGCTATTCCGGAACTCTCTCTCCTCATTGGTTGAGACACAGCAGCAGGAGCCATTGCCTCCAACTGCTGTCAATCACAGCCAGTAAGGAGAGAGCAGGGGTGGGGCAGAGCAACGGCTGTGTATGTGTTATGTATGCATGGAGCAGGGCTCGGGAGTGAGCATGCACCAGTGGCCCCAAAGCAAGCGGTTTACTATTGGGGGCACTGATAAGGAGGGAGGAGCCAGGAGCACGAGAGGGGGAACCAAGAAGAGGGGGATCGGGCTGCTCTATGCAAAACTATTATACAGAACAAGTAAGCATGACATGTTTGTTTAAAAGAACAAAACACAAACCCCGGACCTTTAATACCACTTTAAAAAGAAAGACAAAAACAGCGATCTTTACCTTCCGTTTGATATTTTCCAAGAGTTCCACTCCTCCTTTTTTAAAGAAGGGGTGCTGAAATTCGATGGCAGCACTGTGTTCCGATCTCATGAGCCCGCTCTCCAGACTCAACACCTTTCTGAATCCATCTGCAGGGAGGGGGAAAATGGACTTTTAAATAATGTGATTATTGGAGAGAAAAGGTCAGAATTAATAGGACTAAAATTTTCTCCAGTATAGAGCTGTATTCAGAAAGCAGTGACATAATGCATGGCCACATGAACGGGAACACGTGAAGAATTAAAATACAATGTTCAGAACATTAAAGAAAAAAGAAAGAAAATCTTAATCACTTCTTCCAAGAAAAGCACAGCTGAGCCATTATAGTATATGACAGCTGCCTTCACTTTGCTAATTTCAGTTCTACACAAAGGAAGTCAAACCATTTCAAAGCCACATGTGTTATAATATATGTAGCTTATGAATCCGTCAGCATTTACGTTCTGACGGAAACTTTTAAAGCCAAAATGTTTAAAATATGAAGTTTAATATTCTTATATTTTGCATTGGTTCATCACCCCCGTACCATATCAACAGGCATTATTTTTTTTTAGGAAACCTGTTTTCATTACATAGTTTGGGTTTCTTTTTACCCAGGGTCTGTGCTTTTCTATGCAATTCACCCAGATCTTGGCTGATGGGAGGGGCTGGCAGGATGCTGTACATCGCTTCCTGACAACATCACAGCACTCCTCTAAGTGCCCTCAGTTCTGATGCAAGCAGTGGGCTGGCTTTAGGGAGGAGTTATGCAAATAAAATTTCTTTATGGGTAGGTGTCAGTCTGGAGGAGTAGGCATTCCTAAACAGGCTGCAATTGTATGCAGACCACCCTAGATAATGCTCACACATGATGCTGAGCCTCTGTGGTTGTAAGAACTGAAATCCAATTAATGAAAAGGGTAAGCCAGGAACACTCAGACGGGGGAGGAAAGTGTTCGATGATGGTCAATTTTCTTGATATGGAGGGCTTCAAGTGTGGTCCCCAATATTACCAAAGGGACGCACATAAAATGCAGTGAATATTCAATGTCAGAGACAGCAGACACACGCCACAATAAAGTGGGCATGATATAAAATATGGCCAGAGACTGGGAACATGCCACATGAGTTGTTGGAGACTGGGGACATGTTGTGACAAGTGACATATCAGCATGGATGTCACTCCACTTCCTCAAACTAAATCTTTCTAAAACTGAGCTCATACTATTCCCTCCAGCCCGTGCCCCCTCCCCTGATTTCTCCATCAAGACCAATAACACAACCATCAGTCCCTCCCCTCATGCCAGGGTACTAGGTGTAATCCTAGACTCCCATCTGTCCTTTCAGCCCCAAATCCAATCGCTGTCCAAATCTTGTAGACTTCACCTCTCAAACATCTCCAAGATACAACCGTTCTTAACCTCTGAAACTACTAAGCAACTTATTCACTCCCTGGTTATCTCTCGCCTTGACTATTGTAACTCCCTCCTCATGCTGTAAGAGTTGTTGGAGACTGGGGGCAGGGTGTAAGTCGGGGGCATGAAATAGGAGTTATTGGGAGACTGCGTGCGTGCCGTAGGAGTTATTGGAGACTGGGGAGACATGCCGTAGGAGTTGTTGGAGACTGGAGACATGCCGTAGGAGTTGTTGGGAGACTGGGGGCATGCCGTAGGAGTTGTTGGAGACTGGGGGCATGCCGTAGGAGTTGTTGGGAGACTGGAGACATGCCGTAGGAGTTGTTGGAGACTGGAGACATGCCGTAGGAGTTGTTGGGAGACTGGAGACATGCTACAGGAGTTACTGGAGATGCTACAGGAGTTACTGGGGACATGCTACAGGAGTTAGGAGACATGCTACAGGAGTTACTGGGGACATGCTACGTTACTGGAGACATGCTGTTGGGAGTTACTGGAGACATGCTACAGGAGTTACTGGAGACATGCTACAGGAGTTACTGGAGACATGCTACAGGAGTTACTGGAGACATGCTACAGGAGTTACTGGAGACATGCTACAGAGTTTACTGCCGTAGGAGTTGCTACAGGAGTTACTGGAGACATGCGTACAGGAGTTACTGGGGAGACATGCTACAGGAGTTACTGGAGACATGCTACAGGAGTTACTGGAGACATGCTACAGGAGTTACTGGAGACATGCTACAGGAGTTACTGGAGACATGCTACAGGAGTTACTGGAGACATGCTACAGGAGTTACTGGAGACATGCTACAGGAGTTACTGGAGACATGCTACAGGAGTTACTGGAGACATGCTACAGGAGTTACTGGAGACATGCTACAGGAGTTACTGGAGACTGGGGACATGCTATAGGAGTTATTGGAGATCTCAATGAGGAAAAACCTCATGCTGGAAATCTATACTGATAAGGACTGGGTAATGTGTTAGGAATGTAAGGATGCCCTATTGTTTGATGGAAATGAAAATGATCGACCTACAGAGGACTGAATTCAGACACCCCAAAAATCAAAGTGAAAAAATGGTGCAGCAGGCTAGTCTATTTTGCTGAAATTTAATTGCAGCAACTCAGAATGGTCCTCAGTAGTTCGTATGGCCCACAAGTGCTTGTATGCATGCCTGACAACGTCGGGGTATGCTCCTAATGAGACGGATGGTGTCCTGGGGGATTTCCTCCCAGATCTAGACCAGGGCATCACTGAGTTCCTGGACAGTCTGAGGTGCATCCCGGTACCGTTGGATGGACTGAAAACATGACATCCCAGAGGTGTTCTATTGGATTTAGGTCAGGCGAGTCTGGGGGCAATTCAATGCCCCCCCGCTCATGCACGTCTCAGATTACATTACTGCTAACTTACCTTCAGCTTTAAAAGGGCCCTGCCCCCACCACCCTGGCTGTTCTAGCCCAATACATCCCAACATTGAATGTGTGCAAGTAAACTCTGCCATTCCTCAGTTGCTGCTCCACCCTGTCAATGCAGCAAATACCCGACACTGACCTGAAACTTTGCTGAAAGCCCTCGGGTGCATGGGCATGGCAGCCCATTCAAATGAATGGGCTTATGTGCCTGCCTTTTCTGCAGAGAAAAAAGGTTCCTGCCTTGTTTTAAAATTCAGCCAAACCAAAATCGTATGGTGCAAAAGCACCAGGTTTTTCAGTGAGTGAGGTTGCCACTGAGGCCTGGTTCACACTGGTGCGATTTCCAAAGCAACTTGAGTCCCACAGAATTGCATGACAATGGAAATGCGATCTGATTTTGTGGAAGGGTCCTCTGCTACCTTGGTGCGATTCAGTGCATTTCTGTGCCTCATAAACGTCAATGGGATGCATCAAAAATGCATTTGTGATGCGATTCCAGTGCGTGTTTGACCCCCCCCAGAAAACACAGTAGTATGACAAATGCAAGTTGTACTGCAGTTGCACTAGGTAATCGCACTGGAAATCAGATGAAATTGCAGTTGCACTAGTATGTACCAGGCTTAAGACATAATAACACCCCTGCATAGTTTCTGTGCAGCTGCATGAATATGTGCGATTTGCATGCACTCCAGCACCTGCATACAACTCCTTTGTACTCATACTTTTCCATGCAGTTTATACTTACACATGTTTAGCTGGCGGATAAAGCTGGACAAATTGTTGTGTTTAAAATACTTGGGCAGAATTTCTTTAGAAAACCGCTGGTCGTCCAAGATGCAGAAGTTCTGGCCATCCTGTGGAGACAAAAAGAAAAAAAATAACCTAAACTTGTGAAATGACAATATTATCACTAAAACATCCATAAGTGTCCTCGCTGCGCTGACTCCTCGCATCATTTTCCAATAGGACACAGTAGGGATGTGGAGGTCATTGCAGAAGATTCAACCACTTCAATACCAGGCACTTTCACCCCCTTCCTGCCCAGGATAATTTTCAGCTTTCAACACTGTACGCAAATTACATTTTTATCTTTTTTTTTTTTTAAATATACAGAGCTTTTTGTTTGGAGGTACTTAATCACCACTCAGTTCTTTTTTTTTTTTTCTTGCTAAACAAATGAAAAAAAGACCAAAAATGCTGAAAAAACCTCCCCAACCTTTTTTCATTTCATTTACAATTTTGCAAATCAGTAATTTTTCTTCTGCACTGATGTGTACTGATGCGGCTACATTGATGGACACTGATGATCAGCATCCTGATGATCATTGTAAACAATGTACCGTCAGGCTTCATGCACACGGGGTGTTTTTACAGCGTCTGTTTTGGGCATCGGGCGTTTTTTTCTACAGCCAGTAAACTCCCCAGCATGTTATCCTATGTGTCCAGCAGACCTAGGCTTTTAACAGCATTTTTTGGCAGAGGTGATTTCAGGCTGAAAAAAAAAAAAAAAACAAAAACAGAACTACTGTGTTTGAAGAGGAGTTTTTCAGCTGTAAAAACACTTTAATAATGCAAAATGCTGCTATCCAGCGTTTGTGAGTCTCAAGAGGGAGTATAGTTTTGTGGAAAAAAAAAAAAACGCTAAAAAAAGCAAATGCTGAAAAACAAATGCAAAACTGCTAAAAAACACAAGAATTCAACGCAGCTTTCTACAGCTAACGCTTCAGGCGGTTTTATAATGTCCAGTGTGCAGGACGCCTCCGCCTTGCTGGTTATCAGCTCTCATTTCCTTACACGTGACCAGCTGTAATTGGACACATGGTAGAGGGCCACTGTGATTGGCACTTTACCATGATCTGTGATCTGCTGTGTTAAAAGGACACAGCAATCACAGAGCTCACCTGTGCGACAGGGTGTGGGAGGCGGGATTCTGAGAGGACATCCATTGACACCCTCCCAGAACTGAAGAGCCGCACTTGTAGCTGTCTTTCGGCTACAGCGCAGTGAAGAAGTGGTTAAAACATGCTGGCTAGGATGTGGTCATACCAGGATCCTGACTATAGCAGGTACCTTTTTCCAGCTGGTGATTGTCAGGAAAAAGTGATCCTGGAGCTTTGAAGGCCCCACCCCCCTTTACTGTGACTATGGTAAATGGGGGTGATGGCTTTCCGCAGAGATGGAGGAACATTCATTCCCTGATCTCCTCTGTGACAAATGAAGTTCAGATTGTAGCAGGGCCCTCCTAACCCTCTTGTATTGAACTGTATTGTTGCTGTATTATCTCCCGTTATATTGTAAAGCGCTGAGCAAACTGTTGGCGCTATATAAATCCTGTATAATAATAATAGCGATGAGGATTTGTGTCACTTCCAATTTCAGAGCCGCCATTTCTTGGTTGCCATAGCCAGGGAAGCAGCTGATCATACACAATCTGTGTCTAATCAGCTGCCCTGGAGGGCAGTGGAGACACTGGGGGTCAAATGTCTTCTGATGTCCCCATAAAGAACACCTGTCACCGACCCAAAGCTTTCACAATGGGGCTTGTTCGCCTCCTTGTGATAGCAATAAAGTTAAATGAAAAAAAAAATGTTTTCAATTGTAAAATAAACAAATTTAAATAAACATTAAAAAAAAAAAAAAAATGTAAAGCACTCTCATCTACCTATGCATACACATAAATGCAAACACGTGCACGGGTCTGGTATATATATGTAAACAGTGATTGCACCAAATGTGAGGTATCGGTGCGAACATCAGAGTCAGGGCATTCTTTCTGGGACCATAATTCACAGATGACTGATAACCTGTAAAGGCTTTTATCCACTTCGCCTCATACCCATCCCCCCTCTGAGCAATTTTTACATTTCTTCTAAACATAATATTGTAATACATATATTGTTTTTTTCTTTGATAAAAAATGCTTTTTCTTGTAATTCTCTTGTAACATTATTTCTCACAATCATTTGACAATGAAAAGCAACAAAACGCATGTTTTCCTTTTTTTGAACAGTTTAACCACTTCCCCGCTGCCCTATATTAGAAGAACTGCTACAGGGCTGTGCAAAATCACATTTTATATATATATATATATATATATATATATATATGTATATATATACACACACACACACACACACAGTGGGGATCGAAAGTTTGGGCACCCCAGCTAAAAGTTTGTATTAATGTGCATAAAGAAGCCAAGGAAAGATGGAAAAATCTCCAAAAGGCATCAAATTACAGATTAGACATTCTTATAATATGTCAACAAAAGTTAGATTTTATTTCCATCATTTACACTTTCAAAATAACAGAAAACAAAAAAATGGCGTCTGCAAAAGTTTGGGCACCCTGCAGAATTTATAGCATGCACTGCCCCCTTTGCAAAGCTGAGACCTGCCAGTGTCATGGATTGTTCTCAGTCATCGTCTGGGAAGACCAGGTGATGTCAATCTCAAAGGTTTTAAATGCCCAGTCTCATCTGACCTTGCCCCAACAATCAGCACCATGGGTTCTTCTAAGCAGTTGTCTAGAAAACTGAAACTGAATATAGTTGACGCTCACAAAGCTGGAGAAGGCTATAAGAAGATAGCAAAGCGTTTTCAGATGTCAATATCCTCTGTTCGGAATGTAATTAAGAAATGGCAGTCATCAGGAACAGGGGAAGTTAAAGCAAGATCTAGAAGACCAAGAAAAATATCAGACAGAACAGCTCGCAGGATTGTGAGAAAAACGATTCAAAACCCACGTTTGACTGCACGATCCCTCCAGAAAGATCTGGCAGACGCTGGGAGTTGTGGTACACTATTCCACTATAAAGAGATACTTGTACAAATATGGTCTTCATGGAAGAGTCATCAGAAGAAAACCTCTTCTACATCCTCACCACAAAAATCATCGTTTGAACTTTGCAAATGAACATATAGACAAGCCTGATGCATTTTGGAAACAAGTTCTGTGGACTGATGAGGTTAAAATTGAACTTTTTAACCGGAATGAGCAAAGGTACGTTTGGAGAAGAAGGGGCACAGAATTTAATGAAAAGAACCTCTGTCCAACTGTTAAGCATGGGGTTGGATCAATCATGCTTTGGGGTTGTGTTGCAGCCAGTGGCACAGGGAACATCTCACGAGTAGAAGGAAAAATGGATTCAATAAAATTTCAGCAAATTTTGGATGGTAACTTGATGCCATCTGTGAAAAAGCTGAAGTTAAAGAGAGGATGGCTTCTACAAATGGATAATGATCCTAAACACACCTTGAAATCCACGGGGGATTACATCAAGAGGCGTAAACTGAAGGTTTTGCCATGGCCTTCACAATCTCCTGACCTCAGCATAATTGAAAATCTATGGATAGACCTTAAAAGAGCAGTGCGTGACAGACAGCCCAGAAATCTCAAAGAACTGGAAGACTTTTGTAAGGAAGAATGGGCAAAGATACCTCAAACAAGAATTGAAAAACTCTTGGCTGACTACCAAAAGCCAAAGGAGGCAGTACAAGATTAGAACTCTGCAGGGTGCCCAAACTTTTACAGACGCCATTTTTTTGTTTTCGGTTATTTTGAAAGTGTAAATGATGGAAATAAAATCTAACTTTTGTTGACATATTATAAGAATGTCTAATCTGTAATGTGATGCCTTTTGGAGATTTTTCCATCTTTCCTTGGCTTCTTTATGCACATTAATACAAATTTTTAGCTGGGGTGCCCAAACTTTCGATCCCCACTGTATATACTGTGTATATATATATATGTATATATATATATATATATATACACACACACACACACATACAATGAAGGAAATAAGTATAATAAGTATTTGATCCCCTGCTGATTTTGAATGTTTGCCCACTCACAAAGAAATGATCAGTCTAAAAATAGAATGGTAGGTGTATTGTAACACTGAGAGACAGAATAGCAACAACAAATTCAAAAGAAATGCATGTCTAACAAATTATGCACTTATTTGCATGTTCATGAGGGAAATAAGTATTTGATCCCCTATCATTCAGCAGGATTTATGGCTACCTGGTGTCTTTCATACAGGTAACAAGCTGAGATTAGAAGCAGTCTCTTAAATGGAGTGCTGCTAATCTCATTTTGTTACTTGTATAAAAGACACCTGTCCACAGGAGCAATCAAACAATCAGATTCCAAACTCTCCACCATGGCAAACACCAAAGAGCTGTCCAAGGATGTCAGGGACAAGATTGTAGACCTACACAAGGCTAGACTGGGCTACCAAACTATCGCCAAGCAGCTTGGTGAGAAGGTGACAACAGTTGGTGCAATCCATTCGCAAATGGAATAAACACAAAACAACTGTCAGTCTCCTTAGGTCTGGTGCACCATGCATGATCTCATCTCGTGGAGTATCAATGATCATGAGAACAGTGAGGAATTATCCCAGAACTACACGTGAGGATCTTGTCAATGATCTCCAGGCAGCTGGGACCACAGTCAGCAAGAAAACAATTGGTAACACACTACACCGACAAGGATTGAAATCCTGCAGTGCCCGCAAGGTCCCTCTGCTCAAGAAAGCACATGTCCAGGCTCGTCTGAAGTTCGCCACTGAACATCTGAATGATGCAGAGGAGGACTGGTTGAAAGTGTTGTGGTCAGATGAGACCAAAATCCAGCTCTTTGGCATCAACTCAACTCGCCATGTTTGGAGGAGGAGGAATGCTGCCTATGACCCCAAGAACACCATCCCAACCGTCAAACATGGTGGTGGAAACACTCTGCTTTAGGGGACAGGACAACTGCACCGCATCAAAGGGATGATGGACGGGGCAATGTACCATCAAATCTTGGGTGAGAACCTTCTTCCCTCAGCCAGGGTATTGGATAT